CAAGGAATTGATTGGACACCGACTCCTCGACAAAGTATGACTCCCGAAACAGACCTCCTGAAGCAACATTGCCTTCGAATTTTATACACACATGTTCTAATACTAATGCAAACTCCAGCGCGCATGTTCAGTTTCTTCCTTGTATGAGCCTCCTTGTATAAACGTTTCGAAACATCAAAAACTAGGATCCCATATCTGACCAAGCGGTCTATGCTCGCTAGCTGAGACACGCAACAACCCAAGCCGCCTCTAACGCCCGAACTCAATAGACTTCATGATGGAACGCGGGATGTCTCAGGAGCTTGGTACTTCCCTGACGCTTTATTCGCCAAGGTTATCAGGTTTGTACCAAGTTTCTTAACCACATCTTCATCCTGCTGCCCAAAATGTGGTTCAACTCTTTCAGGTACGGTATAGCGCTAACCTTCCCTTATCGTTCACGGCCATGCACTTTCGCAAGGGCTTCTGAAGGTTAGGCGTACGGCCCCAAACCGGCGTGCATTGGTCTGCACAGCGTTTCTTATTCCTTTTTTCGTTTGTCTCCTGATTCTTCACAAGTCCCGCGTCACATCTTGATTTCTTCATTCTTCATATTCTCCGTCGTATCCTACTTCATCGCATCGTCTTGCTTAGTAGCTGCGTTGAACGGTAGGTTTACTGGAAGTCTGATGGTAGAAACCATCACATGGATAACTTCAAGGAGCTGTGGCTTCGAGCCAAGACTACCTATGAATACACCACAACACGGTTTCGGACTGCGGTAGTCGCCGGGTTACCGTGTAGTCAATCTTCGACCAAACCTGGACCGCTCGTAAACGCCACACAGAGCTAAATTGATACCCTTCCACAAGACTTTCGAGCTACGCGGCATGCCGCTTGCCTTTTTCGACAGACCCGACCGAAGGCCTCACGCGCTGAGACGTGATGGAGCCCCGCAGGACAAAGAGGAACAGGCAGGAAAGGAATTCACTCTATTGAATTTCACTTCCTAAGCACTGGCTTTCACAATATTGTCCGAGCTCTGGGGCGATCGAAGAGCTTGGCTCCGCAACCAAGGTCCCCGATCTCTTCCCATTTCGCTCAACCCGACCCCGAGTTACACCTTCACCATAAACACCAGATTCAGCCCCGTATACGTCCACCTTTTCGCTTTCCAGCAAACACTTCGACCACTGAAGCGCTACATCGACCCACGTTCAGACGCCGCAGCGGGCTACCGACTTCGTAGCCGGGTACCTCCTCTTCTACCCCGAAACTTTGCACAGCGCCTCCACTGTTGTGCTTTCGACCACCCATACCACTAAGGCGAACCCAGTCAGGAGGAAACACATAGCATATCCACATCATCGCACACTCTCGCGCGCGCTCAATCTAGCCACCGCCTTCGTGAGCGACAATGGCCGCGCGTACCATACAACAGAAGGCTACACATGACCGTCGCTGGGTTCGTCTACCACTTCTATCACAACCAGCAGTTCAAGACGATAGTCCAGACCTCTTCTAGCCTTGAGAACATGGAGCAAGATGGCTTGTTCAAAGTAGGAGTATGACCCAAGCATAGTATCGCTGGTGCAAATAGGTATCCAGCAGCGACGGTCATACTTCTCGGGTGGGCAGTCAATGATCACATGCAGTCACGTCACATCAAGGGTGAAGAAGGCTATTATGATCATGATAACATTACTGCCTAACCTGTTTCAAGGCCAAGGGTCATGTACACATACACGATGGATGCTTTGAAGCACTTCCATCGATGAGAGCTCTGGTGTCATATCGTCAACCTTCTCGAGCTCCCGGTGCGAGCTTTTACGGTCGCACTGTCCGAACGTCCTCGCGTTCCTTCCTCCGCCCGTTATAGCAATCTTTGGGACCATCCCCTCACGCCGCCCGCCGACGTGTTCGTACCCGTAAATGGAAAGAGAAGAGAGTAAAAAGCCTTCGTGACCCGGATTAAGAGAGGTTGAAGGCACCCCGCGTGCAGATGTCTAATCGTGTCGAGGGTAATTTGGAGTTTTGAAAAGGCATGAAGAAGGAAATGCCGCGCACCGTAACACCATGCAATGCCGCAAAAAATGACAAGTTAGAAGGAAAGGTCCAAGTCGTAGCCAAGTCACCGGTTAAGGTGTGTGGTCAAGGCTCTTTGAGGCCGGATCCTGGGAAGAAAGAGTGCTCATGACTTGCGGAAGTCCGACAAGACAGGGTAGATGAGCTCGAAAGCCTGGTAGATCTCCTCACGGACCTTGGCACCAGTGAGGACGATCTTGCCAGATACGAAGATCAAGAGGACAATTCTCGGCTTCATCATACGGTAGATGAGACCAGGGAAGAGCTCAGGCTCGTAGGAAGAGAAAGTGTGATGGCGAGATGCAAGACCCTCGAGACGAATGGGGAAGCGAATGTCGCAGGAGCCAACGATGTTCTGAATCTTGAAGTCCTATGGTGACGTTAGCATTGAATCATACGTACTTAGTCCGATGCGACGTACGGTGAACTTAGCGCTGAACCCGAGCTTCTGGATAATCCGCGCATATTTGCGGGAAGCAAGGCGGCTGTCGTCTTCAGACTTGGCACCGGTTACAACCATCTTTCCACTCGCAAAGACCAAGGCCGTCGTCTTTGGCTCGCGAATACGCATGATCACGGCAGCGAAACGCTTGGGGTTGTATTCGGCATTGCGGGCGTGAAGAGCGATGGTCTTGAGATCGAGACGAGCGGACAGGTTGACGGTAGCGACAATGTTCTGGAGAGTAGGCACGATACCAGAGGGCACTTGTCCGTTCTGAGTATCAGGAGTAGCCGCTGGGGTCGCAACACCGTTCGCGTTGTCGGCAACCTGCTGAGTGTTCTGCTCGGCGGTTGGCGCACTCAGGTCGAGGTTCGCGCCCTGGGGGTACGAGAGAGATCCAGGAGCGACGAACTGAGAGCGAACGTTAGAACAATTTGACAAATGGGAGACATCACAAGAGCTTACCGTCTGAGCCTGGGCGGCGGTGGACGGGTGAGAAGTGAGAGAGTTGGGATCCATGATGAAGTTATTGATTGGATTTGGAGTGATACACTCTTGAGGAGAGCGGTATCTTGACAGACTGCGCAGGTCAGAGTGTGTTCTAGAGCGGCAGCGACGGTCAAGTCGGCGGACTACGAGATCGCGAGGTAGAGAGCGAGGTCGGTCGACACCGGAGGGGTGTGTCTATGAGATAGGTGGAGACGGTACCGGAGGCAGGAGAGCTACAAGCGAATGTGTCCCTCGCGTACGTTGACAAGTATGCCGTCGAGTGGTGCTGTCACAGTGGACGGCGGGTTAGTGTGTAGATTAAGTGACCAAAAGCGTAGCCAGCAAGCCTTTGGCGGGGTAAGTCGAGATTGCGACTGAGGATGAGGCTGCTGTTGGGCTGTCGCAGGCTGAATATAGCTAGCGCCGATCGCGACCTCTGAGAGAGTGGATATGTGCGAAAATGGCACACCGGGATTTCTGAGTCGCAGTATTAGAGAGCGCGCAGTTGAAAAGGTGAGTTTTCGATCTGCGGCGATGGTAGAGTAGAGGGTTGAGGTGTTGCGACAACGGCGGGCTCGGCGGAAATCTCGTTAAAAAGTTGGGGGGGAGGCCGAGTACTTATAGTAGTGGCTGCCTGCGTGCCAAGCCGTTAGCGCCCCGCTACGTCGCAGGGATTGGGCGGCGATTGGGGCTTAGCCTCAGATTTCCGGTAGCGAGAAGATTCTGCTGTGAGTAAAAGGGGCTCCCAGCGTCATGCGCAACCGTTTCCCTTCACTCCCCCAGCTTCACCCCGCATATGCGACGCTGCAATCACTGAGCCGGTTTGCTTGTGTCGACTGCAGCGCTGCCGACAGGCTCTCCGCGACACTGGAAGGTGCAGCGCGCATGTTGCTGCCTTACTGATGCGCGCAGGTCGGCCGGTGCCTTCCCTCGTTACCAGCGATGACGACGCACTGACCCGGATTGAGCGATGGCCCAAATCCAGCCCGTCCACTCGACCCCGTCGCCTCACTTGCCGCACTCTGGCCACCAGCAACGGCGCAGAACGAAGAGAAAAACTCATCGCGACACCTTTCCTTGGACCCCTTGGGTTCTGCTGGTTGAGTTGCCGCCCTTTGAAAGGCGTGCGACGACCTGAGACACTTGCGGTACGCTGCGCCTCCCCCGGGCCTGTTTAGGCACGCACCCTGTGAAAGTGCAAACAATAGAACACGCAATCACGGCGACAACAAAGAACTTGATGGGCGAAGGACGGCCGCATGCGAGATTGTGATCCGGGGATGATCGTGGAGGCATTGGGAGGGTGCAGCCTGGTGCACGACTTTTTGGGTGTTGCATGGATCGTCGGCCTATGACTCACGCCCGCCCTCACCGGAAACCGACACATCTCCCCTTGCCATCAGCCTCCGCCTCCGCGTTGCTTTTGTAGTCTGGACCCCATTTACACGTGTCTTCAACCCTGGAGTAGTTTGGTGCTGATGGATCTTTGAGACCTATGGGCTGCCAGATATCCCATCTTTGGAAGCCTAAGTTGCAGTTCACATTGGAATGTCTACAGAGAAGGTGCACGATTTAAGTGTAGACTTCGAGTATATCTTATCAGAACGAGCACATTCTTACCGACTGCGATCACGAAATGTGGATTGATGGCGGGGATCGATGACTAAGGCAACCTGGGAACGGCGACAGTCGGCGCATCTAGACACGCCCGCGAACCAGTCCCAGCCCCCTCCAAATTTACCACTGCACGAAGATCACAGCAACTCACGTCAGCGTTGCCTTGTGACGTCTCTTGATGAAAGGGACGCGTTATTAGTCCTGAAAACCCTGGCTACGATGATTATCCTACCTACGGAGCAATTCGCATGACGCGCCGGACGCTGTTGCCAACCAGCAGCACGCAACAGACACCAAATGCAGTACGAACCCAAGAAAAGAGACGACCTAATGACCTACCCCGGCGATCTCAAAGTCTCAGCTTCGAAATCCTGCAACGCCATGCCTCTCATAACACCCTCTTCTTGAATTGAACGATGGGACCTTCACGAAGCGAGATGTACGCGTCTCTCAACTGGAAGTGACCAGGGTTCCTCTGGCCCCAGCCAAGATCGGGGCGGCCTTCTCCCACGTTCTGCCCAGGAGCCTGACGCACGTCGTATCTCCAGAGAGTCCTACCAACGATCATACAGAGTTGTACCATCGCCATCTTTTGACCTAGGCAACTACCGACGCCCTTGGAGAAAGGATGGAACGATCGCTTCAGATGGTTCACCTCCTCTTGTGTGTTGGTGTCCGAGACCATCCATCTGTCTGGGCGGAAGGTGTTGTAATCGCCCCAAAGAGCTTCATTTCGACCGAGCGACCACTTCGGAACACCAATTACGATGCCGCCAGGAAGGTGTTCACCAGCGATCATAATGCCACCCGGAAGCACGGTGCGTTCAAGCTCACTTGGGCCAGCCGGTGAGAGGCGCAAGGACTCGTATACCGCTGCTCGGAGATACTCGCACTTAGCCATTAGATCCGGAGCTGAGCCGATCTCTTCGACATCGTTGAAATTGGTCCTGATCTCATGAACGAGCTTTGTATAGACCTTGGGGTTGCGAGTAATGAAGAAGAAGAGCGCGGTTACAGTTGCACTGGTTGTATCCGAGCCAGCAACTGTGAGCAAGTTTGCATCGGCAATCAGATTGTCGGTACTCAGCGCGTAATCACCCGTCTCTGGATCCTTCGCCGTGCATAGAAAGTGGAACATGTCTTCTCGAGCAACTGGACGTTTCTCGGCCTCATTCCTCCGCTCGGATTCGATTCGGCTTTTGGCCAGACCTTCCGTGAAGGCAAAGTAAGCTTTGATCTCCTTCGGAGTGATGAGCTTCATCAATGAATCCAAGCTGCGGGGCTTGAGCCAAAGCAACAGGCCTCGGAATGGGGATTTTGCGAGCTACGGCGGTCAGCAAGACAAGGTGCGGTGAGGAGCGGCGACGACTTACTGGGTTATAAAATCGCAAGTATCTAGTAATGTTGTGTGGGATGCTCTTCAGGTCATTCAACCCTGGCTCCTTGGTGTTGTTGGAGCTGCCGAAGCAGATGTCGCCGAACATGTCGAACAACAAGTAGTCAGCCCACTTGGTTAGATTCTGTGGTCCAGACCACCCCTCACCACCGAAGGTCTCACCCGGCAGTAATTCGTTCCATCGATCGACATGTCGAGCTACGAAAGGCACGGTAGCCTTGACTGATTGCTCGGTAAATGCCAAAGAAAGAGCCTTTCTCCTTCGAGCATGCACCTCTACATCCGTACAGCCTAGTGTGTTTAGGTCATGTTTGTTCCGTCTCCACACCTCATAGAATGGGGACTTCTTGACGTTGGCTTTGTAACCAAACATGGCGTTGTAAGCTTCCGGGGTCTGGAAGAGTAGGAGATTGGGAGTTGCCCGGAACTTGTCGCCTGCACGCAACGTTAACGATATGGCTTCAAGGGTCGAAGCCTGACACACGTACCATAGATCTGGAACTGCCTCCAAGACCAGATGTGGCGGTCTCCTTTACAGGCATGGTAGAAAGAGGGTATGCCGGAGATGCGAGCAAAGAACGGTCCCGGCTGCTTTGCGAGAGGATGGAACCATAGGTTGTATATCGTGGAGTACACGAGCTATCCCATGTAAGTTGAGACCGTGTATTAATGTGGAGTATACTGACATAGATGGTAGCTACGCCAAGAACGAGCGGGGCGGAGACAATCATGTTGGAGAGTTCTGATAAATTGTAACGGCTGATACTGCGGAAATCAAGACTCCATGACACTGAACTTTATATCTTGTCGCTCCGAGCCATCTCAACGGCCTCCAGGGCTTCCGCCAACCCCGCGAGACACGCTCGAACCGCCTGGGCACACTATCTCGTCCCTCAATCTCCACCTCAGACGGCCCGCCACCATACCAAGATGAAGCTTTCCCATGCGCCTTTTGCACAATTTAGCACAATCTGTCGCGACGTGTCGGGCGTGCCTTCCATCTGACCACCACTCACTCCTTCGACTTCTTTTTATGTCTTCAACGCAGCCCCAACCCGCTACTTCCGACATACTCCCGATGCCATACCATCCCAACTGAGAAAGGCCATCACTATCAACAATCATCCGAGCATATTGAGCGAACTAGTGCTATATCAGCGGGGCGGGGTTTGACAGTGCGGTAGCCCTCAACGCCACATTTCAATACACCCGTACGCACATGGCCCCAAGCCAACGATAGTTTAAGACGTCCCGTCGTCTTGCTTTTGGCGAAGTTATAAGCGCGATGTATGTTTTGAGTATAATGTCAAACTGCACGTAAGCGGATGTGGCTATGATAGTCATTCTTCAAGACTAGGTCTCATCGCGGCATAATGGGTTGTGGGGTTTGCAGTCATCCAGCGTTCGCTCAGCTTCAAGTCGCCGACCCCGACGACGACCAAGTTATACTCATTTTGTAGCTCGGGCGCCTATTGAAGGGGCTCATCTTGGGGGCCACCTCATACAAGAAAACACCGAACAAGCCTGGAGCCTACATCGACGTTAGGTCACCTACTTGCATGTTCCCATGATGATGTGCAGACCTATCCAATTTTCTCCTAGGTTGATTTACTATCATCAGTTATAGGGAGAATAAGGTCCTTCGCCAAGTCAACTCCAATCTCGCGCTGTAACGTTCGCCACGCATATGGGCCATTCGCACTGGACAACCTCTCCGGTCGCATTATGGCACCACGCGACAGATAAAGAATGCAGCACTCCGGCACAGTCGATAAAACGAGAGGATTTTCGCATGCGAGCGTTTTCTATTGGACCATGGATGAGTTATGCCCAAGCACTCGGTACGGGATAAATACGGCTCCAGGTTCAACATCCAACGGGCGGCTCGCGCCTGCGCTAAGACCAGCCCCAATGGTCGCACAGCCCCGCCCCCACAACAATGATCCTGCCGGGAAGGAAAGGGCAACCCACAGCTGAACTAAGAGCTAACGTACTTACTATCTGTACGAATTCGGGCATACCGAGAACAGCCTCACATATGTGGATTTTGATCCTGCTCGCTTATGCATGGGGCCGAAACCAAAACCCCGTTTGATTGCGGCGTTATGTGATACCGTGTTCCCGGAATAATCAGCTTACTTACTATAGACTCGCGCAATGGCACGGCAAATGGGAGGCATAACTTGTTACATCGTCGGGCTGTCAATACTCGAATAGTACTCTTCGCCGTACGCAGATGGAGAACCGCATTTTCACGACCAGTGAATGGCACGGTCTTATCGAAAGAGCAAGGGAAACGCCATGCTTGCATACAATACGTGGCACAGTTGCCAGCCCCTGGCTGAAGCACTCTTATAATTCCATTATCCTTTTCACCTCACACATTTCCACACAAGCTATGCAAGTCGTACCTGACTTTGTGGTTCGCACTTTCCTTGGTCACCTAGCAACAGCAGCGACAAACAACGCGCCTGCCTCTCTGGACCCTTAGCGAAATCTCTTGCGCTCTCACTCCTACACTTCTCTCCCGCTCTGTTTCACTCACCGCACCTCATTTCCACACTTTCGTTGCCAAAGCATGACCATGTCTTCTACTCCTAAGGACGATGCCGTACTGGATAACTCGAGTGCCGAGAAGGCGTCGACAAATACTTCCGCCCCCGATGAAGCTGAGCCGGTGGTAGCGACTGATGAATCGAAGTACATCACAGGCCTGAAGCTCTACCTGATCAATGCTGGTCTCACGATCTCGATCTTCCTCGTTACTCTCGAATCGACCGTCATCAGCACTGCCATTGTGGACATCACCGACGAACTGGGTGGCTATGAGAAGAGCTCATGGCTTTTCACGGCATACATGTTGACCTACTGCAGTAAGCACTTCCTTACCCTCACAGACTGACCACTTCGCTAATCATGTCCAAGGTCTCCAGATGATCTGGGCAAAGCTCTCAGACATTGCAGGACGAAAATACACCCTCATTGCTTCGCTACTCATCTTCACCATCTTCTCAGCGCTTTGCGGAGCTAGTCAGACACTCATCCAGCTCATCATGTTCCGGTGGTGTCAGGGTATCGGCGGCTGCGGTGTGTACGCACTCACTCAACTCATGTTCATGGAGATTGCGCCACCAGGCAAGTTGCCGAAGTACATGGCAGGTGTTAGTATGGTGCTCGCACTCAGCCTGATCACGGGACCGCTTCTTGGTGGCGGCATCACCCTGCATGGTAGCTGGCGCTGGATCTTCCTTTTGAAGTATGTACACGTCATTGAAGAACATGGGTCAACGTACTAACATTGGTGGAGCGTTCCTGTCGGAGTTCTTACTGCTGTGTCACTTTGCTTCACACTTCCGAGAACGCTGTTCAACGAGCCAGCTGCGCAGCAGACTCACCCGATCTTCTCGAAGCATTCCCTCAGTCGACTTGACTTCCTTGGAGCGACGTTGATGCTCGGCACTCTCGTGTTACTCGCTACAGGTCTCCAACAAGCGTCGCTGGACTATGCGTGGTCTTCCAACAAAGTCCTTCCTCTACTCGTCGTTTCCGCGCCTTTCGCCGTCGCGTTCTTCACATGGCAATGGTACATAACACAGCGTCGCACCAACCCCGAGCCCGTCTTTCCGTGGCGCTTCTGTCAGAGCCGCATACAGCTCGGCATGATCATGTAAGTCCACAACTTTGTATCCTCATCATGCGTCATTCTGATGTAGACATGCAGAAATACCTATCTCTCCGGCACGGTCATGTTCGTATGCATTGCGCAAATCCCCCAACGTTTTATCACGGTCAACGGCCTCTCTCCCCTTGCCGCCGCCGCCCGACTCCTCACATACGGCGCTTTCGTGCCCTTTGGCAGTGGTATCGCTGGTGCGATGATGGGCAAGCCCAGGATACCGCCATGCTGGATCATTCTCGGTGGCTCCTTGATGGAGATTCTCGGTATTGCGTTGCTGTCGCAGATCGATACTTCGTCGCATATCGATGCTAGTCAGTATGCGTTCCAGATCATTGCCGGAACGGGAACTGGTCTGGTCAACTCGGGACTCATCCTACTTGTGCCGTACGCGATGGATAAAAGGGATTTGGGTAAGCTATCCACTACATTCACAAACGCATGTGTCCAAGGTTTCCGTTTACTAACGACTACCAGCGGTTGGCTCAGCAGCTACATCGCAGTTCCGCACCCTGGGCGGTCTAGTCGGTATCGCCATCGTTACGTCCATCTCCACGCCCTACATCCGGTCCCATCTGACCGACATATTACCCTTGGAGCTTGCAGAGAGCCTGCTAGAAAGGACGGAGTTAGTGCAGACTCTTTCACCGGAAACGTTGGAGCGTGTGAGGCAGGTGTTTGGTGAGGCGTATAACCTGCAGGTCAAGGTACTCATCGGGTTTGCGGTCGCCAAGGTACCGGTCACGGGTATGATGTGGACAAACTTGAGGGTGGAGAGTAAGTGAGCGGGCGAAGATCGGCACTGAGCTTTAGGGATGACAATTTCATTCGACGAATACGTCAAAGTGCACTTTGTTGTATTCCAACGTCTAAGAAGACCCCGAAGGTACTCAGTAGCTTCGGATAGATAGACCATTGTGGTCAAGACATCACAGCCACCCACTTCGTGCCCGCTCTCACCGAAGTAATTCCAGATATCATCGGAGGCACTCTATCACTCATAAAGCTCCGATCGATTCGCAAAGACTGCCTTGGCTACGCGCACATGCTGACCTTCTCTTTCCATCAACTCGTTAGAAAGTGCTAGCTCGAGTCTGAGCCATCTTCCTCTGCCTCAAAGGCCTCATCGTCATCCTCCTCCTCCTCTTCGAAATCCATGTCCTCATCGCTGTCCAGGAAGTCGTCGTTGGACAGCGTGAACGCATCATTCCTAGCCTCTGTTTCCTCGGCCTTCATCCTCTCCAGCTCAATCTCGTGCGCCTGTCTCATACGCGCATGCTCGTGTTCCTGGCGGGCGACGCGTCGCGCCACAACGGCCATGATCGCATCTTCACCGTATTGCGGGCCCAAGGTGCGAAGGATGTTGTTGATGTCTTGCTGTGTGATAGGGTCGCCAGTAGGTTCGAAGAGAAGGCGCTTGCATGTTGGACATGTGTTACCGACTTCGAGCCAAGCGTCTAGGCATTGTTGACCGATGATGTGGCCGCAGGCGGCGATTCGTACAGCACGGTGAAGCTTGGACTCCGCCGATTTACTCTTCGTAGGATGAAGGGCGAGAGGATGGCGGCAGATGGTGCAATCTTGCGATGCATGCGCGTGCGACTGTTGGACCTGCTCGAGACCCAGGCTGTTGAACATTTCTTTGCTTGCGAAGACTGTCATTTTGGATGTGAGAAAGCTGAAGTAGTCGCGAGTGTATTATGTGTCGCGGAGGGTTGAGTTCGGTTTCAAGGCGGGTGGTATGTGACTAGGTGAGAGTGAGAATTGTTGCCGGTCGCACCTTCTCGGAATGGAGCAATCGAGGTGAATTAGTGCACGGTTGTCGCAGCGATTTTTTTGCGATTGCTATAATGGTCTGAACAAGCGCGGGTGCGCTGGCTTGAGGATATAAATCTCTTGGAATTACATTATGAGCTTGTCGCATTGGCCAGGACAATGGGTGTCGCCTGTATACCATGGTTCAGGACAATTTTTCCATATCACAGTAGACGACCGGCGTCTATCAACCGGAAAATCGCGTGCAGCCCTCACGGTGTGTGAGTGGGTTAAATAAAC